CACCGAGAAGGGTTGAAGCCTATGACAAATAGCCAAGAATTCTCTGCCACGTGGGTTAATCTGGTCTGCTAGCCTCACTGCAGAAGCAAAGGGAGAGAGAAAGTGCTGCCCACAGCGCTTGGCAAGTGGGAGCTGAGGAAATGTTTACCTGCAGTGAGGACAACGCTAGAGGGTTTACGCAGGGTCCAAGGAGAGGAGCAGGGGTAAGTGGGCCTAGTTCCTGGACCTGCTACCCAGAGGGGTCTAGGTCTGACTGTGATGTGTAAATTTGAATTTTCCCTTGCTGAGTGGTGAGGTGCTTGAAAATGTTCGCTCCTGGGATTATTTAAGTAAAGAGAGCCCTCTACTACCTTTCTACGTAGCTTTTGGCCAATTGCTCTCTGCCTGCCTTTGAGCAGACACAGCATGCTATTCCTACTTCGACCAGCAGGTGGCAGGAGACACACGCCCATCTGCATCTGCTCGGGCTGGGCAGGCTGGCCGCCTTCTCTGGAACTCAGGGAGGCTGCTGCTGTGCCGGCTGCCTGCCTGGGACTCACAGAGGTGTCTTAATAATCTGCCTAATGAGGCCGGCCAGGGAATTGGGAGACCAGATGTTTTCTGCCCAACAAATGAGATAACATGGGGGAATGGTGGGGAGTCTGGCCAGGATCACAAGTTATGAGAAATTCGGGCATGTTGCAACTCTCTCCTCTCACCATCTGGGGCTTCAAACCCCCTGCAAGCCTCGCGCGGAAGGGAGCCTTCTGCAGCCCGACCCGGCACGCCTGCCGCACTGTCTGAGCCACACGCGCACGGCTCACTCCGCGGGAATCTCTTTGTGGCAGGCCTGATGCTGTGTCCTTGTGATTCTGACTCTTGGGCCAAGTTCAGAGCCCTGATGGGTGTCACGTTCATTCAGACACGCACAGCGCGCAGCAGAGAGGGAGGAGAGGCCTCAGTGACGCCGCAAGCAGAGCTGAAAAATGGCTCTCCTCAGAAGCCGCTGTGGAGAGCTGGAGATTGCATTCTCTGCCCCAAGCCAACCGCAGACGCCAGTACCAGGGTGGGTTTTCTTTTCAGTCCTGGTGATTAGACCCAGGGTCTCACATGCGCTCAACGAGGGCTCTCCCTGCTCTCCTTCTTAGTCCCTTTTTCCTTCTGTTTTCTGGAGACAATTGTCTCACTATGTTGTCCAGGTTGGCCTTGAACTCAAAATTCTCTTGGCCCGGCCTCCCAGGTAGCGGCATTACGGCTGTGTGTCACTTTGCCCAGCTTCTGGTCTCTCTCACTCAGTGCCCCAGCTGGCATCTAACTTGTGCTCCTCCTGCCCTAGTGTCTATCCTTGGAGCACATGGGGTGACAGGCATGTACCATCCCTCCCCAAGACGCTCCCCCTGCTCAGCTGTGCTCTGTCTTCCTCATCAGCTGCAAGAGAGAGGGAGAGGGTCTCTGAGATCTCTTCCAAGAGAAGACTGAGCAGAGACTCGGCTCACACTGGACAGTGGCCTTGTTTGCCCTCTCCCTGCCTGGAGAGAAGGGTTTTGTTTTCCCCTGGCGTGCAGACCTGATAGGTTTGGGGGGGGGGGAGAGCAGGCAGCTTTTGGAAGTGTGGGAGCCCATGACAGTGCCCATCCACAGTGGGGTCCATCGTTTCTCAGCGTATGCAGACAGCACCTCCTACAATTGTGTAGCGGTAGTGCAAAGGCAGCTGGTGCCAGACTGTGGACATGGCCTTCCCCAGTAAGTGTTTCCAACAAATGTCATTAGGAGCACGCAGTGGGACAGTTAGTCTATGGGGATAGAGAAGGGTAACATGGAAGTAGATA